CCCAGTTACTGGATATTTCAATCTCTTAAAAGACCAGGGAGCGCTGGTGGGCCCAAAGTTTTATCACACATGGCTACAACCAACACATAGTTCAACCAGTTTGCATTGGGGTTCCTGTAGTTACTGAATAATAAGCCTTGGTATGTAACAAGCCTGGGAGTTTAAGGGGTTAAGCCCATAATTCGGGGGTCGGCAAACCAAATTTAAAAAAGAGTGTCAAGATTCAACAAAAATCAAACCACCTTAGGAGCCACATTTCATGTCCATTTTATTGAAGTAACGTTTCAATATCTCGGCTGTAAATACGTCTCAGTGTGTGCTAATGTCCTATTATAGACTAAAGATATGATATAAATGAAAACACAGACTTACTTTGCTCTGCTTTAAGCTTTAACTCAGCTATATCCGCTTTTCTCGCATCTCCGGCAGGAAACTTTCCCGCAAAAGTAAAACAGTTTCTTGTAAAAAGACTCTTAACATTCGACTTCTGTTCGAATTTTCCCGTTCCACCTTAAATGGAGCCTGAGGTGCCGGAATGTAGCTAACTATGTAGCTAACTGCTGCACCATTTAAGGTGGAACATGAAAATTCGAACCAGAAGCTGGCGAGCGAGACTTTTTTTTTAGTGTTTGTCAGTTTCTCTTTGCAGACTAAACGTGTCAGGAAACCAGCTGGAGTGATTATAAATGCAAATAAGTCCATTCGTCTCCAAATCATTGATGTTTATCTTAAATCTTTCCCTTTGCCTTTTCGTTAACTACTAGCTAGGCGTTATGTTGTCTACGTCGCTATGGTGACCAGCAGTCTGCGCACCAACCTTCAGGGTTAAAGGGTGAATAAGCAGTTATACACAGAACTCCAGCGTTTGAGACCATTTAGTGTTAAAACTGTGTTGAACGATCAGATTATTTTACTGCAAAGGAGGATTATTTTATTTTTACCTACAAATCTAATTCTGCTGGGGAGCAGCAACGGGTCACGTGTTGCTGACCCCTGACATAGTTGAACAATGCCTAATAGAAAGACTCTCCCGCCTCTTCTCTGGCTAATTCAGAAATTCGGCTTTGTGAAATTCCCCCAAGTGTTCTGAAAGAAGCCCATACACCCAAGAGTCTTAGTTTTAGAGTATGCACTCTCACAAAAACTCTGTACCTTTCAGGGTACAAACTTTCTCACTGTGGTAGTCACAAGGGTACGTCATCAGCAGCTTTAGTTCACAGACATTTTTGTACCATAGTGTGTTGACTCTATTAACATTGGTCTGGTCTGGTCTTTTCCTGCTTTAAAATACTTAAGTTACAAAAAAGTATAAATATACCACTTTCCCTTTAAAACTCATCACTGCAGTGCTGAGAATGACCCACCACCCAAATAATACCTGCTCTGTGGTGGTCCTATAGGGGTCCTGACCATTGAAGAACAGAGTGAAAGAGGGCTAACAAATTAAACAGATTGACTAGTCTGTAACTGTGGAACTACAAAGTGCACCTATATAATAAGTGGAGCTGATAAAATGGACAATGAGTGTAGAAAAATAGAGGTGGTTTTTATGTTATAGCTGATTGGTGTAAATTTTATGATACAATATATTAAGAGTTTCATTCCAAAATCATGTTGTTGCTCATACACTGTATTATAATGTAACATACAATGTAACGGACAACAAAATGATTGAAATTTATTGTATTACAACAACATAAAGACCACCTTTAGGTCTTTGTAATACATTATAAATCATTTTCAGCACTGACGGTTGTGGCACAGACATAATTACACTTTCGATAACAATTTCTATGTTTGATTTAGAAGAGGAGCTGTTTTCTTCCTGAATACTCACATAGTTACACTTCCAGGTTTAGACAATCAATCAATGTCCATTTTTGTTGTTTTTCAGTTTTTTTACATAACTTGAAAATGCCTGTCGCCCTTCACATTGTATGTAAATTCCATGTTGAATGGACCAAAAGAAACGCCCCAAAATGACTTGGAAAAAAGTCTGGTTCCATTGACTTACATTAAAAGTAAAGTGTGTTTTTCCTCCTGTAAAGTTACCATTTTGGATAAACGAGCTTGTCTTCCGAGAACAGCGATATGCACGTGTTCTCTCACTCACTCACTCACACACACACACTCCTCACAGCCGTACCACACTGCTCAATTCTAAATCAATGTATTGTGCTTCATACATATTCAGCAGTTTCACTGCCATTAATTTGCATGATTAAGCTCCTACTGTGGACCTGAATTTATGTAAATGACAACATGGCTGTGTCTCTGTTGAACATACAGGACACTGGTGCATTTTAAACCGTGTTTTTTAGAGGTTCTGAAGCTCAGGAACATGTGTGCTCGCTCGGCAGACGCTCGTCAGAGATAAGAGAGCCGAAAAACAAGACCGAGATGAAGTACAACAAAGAACTGAACAGCATTGTGTGCTTAGCTGTCTTCCCAACATGCACGTTGCTCACATCAGTGCACCAGAAGCCACCCACTACAAGGTGGTGGAGGAAAAAAGAAAAAGCCTTAAATTTATAGAACTGAGAGCAACATTTGAACACCTTCATGCGCCCCTGCAAATGCGCGGCTTGTTCCGCAGCTAATGAACGAGCCGCAGCCACCAAAGCAAACGAAGACAGAGTGAAGTGATGGCTTCTTAAATGCAAGAGAAAGTGGGCTCTCTACACTAGAATAATAACAGCCCTGCTGAATCTATAATGGCTTCCCCCCACCTCTTTCTCGGTAATGAGTGGCAGGCAATGGGCACCGCTCGCTGTCTGATTAAAACAAATGAAAGATCCATTATGACAGACGATTGAATACCCAGACCCTCCTACTGTGCCCAGCTCTAATGGAGGGTGGAAGAAAAAACGGTGAGAGATTGTCATTTACCAGTCCTCTCCGCTTTCTCCAGGCGCACACTTTTAGCAGTGATATAGGGAAAATAGCAGAGCAGAGGCGAGGCGAGGCGAGGCAAGGTGGGAGAAACGTCGGCCTACGGATAAATGCCCCGTTACAAATGACAGACAGAGGCAGTTAAGTGTTCACGCCACTAGAAATTCAATACTAAGGCAAAGAGGAGTATTAGCACATGAAGGCTTTTCACAAGTTGAACATGTAAACAGTTCTTCTATTCACTGTTTTATTTTCCATAATGTATGTTTCATACGCTGAGTGGGAGAAACGTAGGTGTACAAATAAAAGATACTTTGTAAGACAGGTACCGCTGGGAGTTCATGCCGTTAGAATTCAAAGGAGCCATCTCTTTAAAAAGCTAGCAAAAAACAGTGACATCCAATCCCACTTTACTCCTTGAATTAAACAGGATGATCCTTTAAGATAGAAGTAAATGAGTTCTGATCTAATAAGCTGCCCTCTATTGTGTTTCTTTCAAAAAGCAGTCCAAACTAAAGAACTCCTTATAACTTAATTGAGAATGGGCGGGGCTGTACAGGTGCATAGATAGGTGTATACTGTCGCCGGCCAAAGAAAACCATGTATCTCCATTTTTGTTGATTTTTAGTTTTCTACATTAACTCAACAGCCCAGCTGTCCTTCGCATTGTGTACAAAATCTGATGATGCATCGACCAATAGAAATGCTCTAATATCACTTTACATTGACCTTCATTGTAAGGTGAGTGTTTTTGTCCTCTCCTGTAAAGTTACTATTTTGGAGATACTTGTTTTTCTTTGGGCAGCGACAATTTATTTATTTATGTTTTTTAAACATTTGACAATGACAGACTCCCTTTACATGTGCGAGTACTAATATTATGGACCAATATAAATGGGCCAAAATTACTTCGAAAATCTGATCACATTAATGCAGATTAAAGCTAAGAATTCACCAAAGTCTTTCCAAGTTTGTTCTTAAATGTGTTCTTGAGAAAAAATGGCCAGTAAGAACACCGACCCAAGATTAGCTTTTATCAGTTCATGTAATTCTATTCAGTGTCATATAAAAGCTGTAAGCTGACCACAGATCAGCATTCTTACTCTGAGAGGTTTGATAAATACTGCCCAATGATTTTTAAAGTGGACTCTTTTTACAGCGTAGAAACGTGAAGCTTCAGCAGTGTCTACATGCTGGATCAAGCTCATTTATTAAACAGAGGCACCTGAGCACATTATTTAAAACTAGTGTGTTTGTGTTCGTACAAACACCACACACCATTACAACATAACTAAACACAAACACAGTAAAAAGTAACAAAAATGTCTTGTTTTCAAGAAAGTAGTTGGAATCTTGGGAGTTGATGTTTGGGTTTAGTTTGATGAGCAAGTTTGGTTCCAGATTTCTCCTGGATGTCGCCGGTCATCAAACAGATTTGTATAATTTCATCAACAGCACATTTAATTTAACCAAATTAAGTATTGACCAAATCAGGTATTAGATGGTAACCACATAATACTGGGCGGACACTTTTTTTTCTATTTTCTCCCCAATTTGGTCGTGTTCAGTTCCACCCACTAGTTACATCTCCCCTGATCTCACCATACCACCAGCACCAGGAGGGTGAAGGCGAACACAGGCTTCCTCCAAGACGTGAAGCCAGCCACTGCATCTTTTCAAACTGCTGCTAACGCAACGTCATTGGACAGCGCATGGAGGAGAGCACTGTTAGTTCTGTTAGATCCGCTAACAGACCCCTGTGCTGGACAGCACAGCGCCGAGCAATGAGAGGAAGAGCAATCCTACCCATCCAGAGAGAGCGAGGTGAGGCCAGCTGTGCTCTCTAGGACTCCCAGCCACAGACAGCTGTATTGAGGAGAGGTTTCACACAAAATCAACTACTTACTGTATTAATGTTATTTGTATTTATTCTAATATTACAGATTTTCTGAACAAATCTAGGCTTATTGACCAGATAAATAGCTTTATAAAATCTACCAACATACCTGCCTGCCTGCCTACCCATATATCTTTTCCTTGATTTGGACTCTTTAACACTGTGTAAAAATAAAGATGTGCATTAGCAAATCACGTTTTTCCACACGATGAACAAGTAGGTTTTATTTATAGTTTTATTTGCCACAATATATTTGTCATACAGTGAAACAGAGCCAGTGTAGGGGGACTTTGACTTGCAGACAAAAGCCACTTTACAAAGAGAGACTGTTAGCTGTGTATAGCATTAGAATTGAATACTAAGGGAAAGAAAGATGTGTATTAGAAGAACCATTTTTCACACGATGACCAGTTTTTAGTTTTACGTTCCCTACTGTATTTGTCAAACAGTTCAAACTAGCCAAGGTGATCTTATGGGGAAACACCGTTACAGTACGAGCAGGCTTCTTCAGTTCATCACACAGACGTTTGCATTATTTACTGTATCTCCAACAGCCAGCGAACGGCATCCTAAGAACCGCCGTGGGCAAAATACAAGCCATGCAGCTTATAATGTGTCACTGGCATAAGATCTCCGTTTTTGACAGTTGTTTTTTTTTAAGCAGTGGAAAACTGGCAATCTTTCTTATGCCTTCTAGCCGTTATTCGGTTGTAAAGCTTAAACAAAACCCCCTGTAAACACCTTGCAGTTGGATGATGAAGCTAAAGCACTGTAAAATACAGAGGGTTTTGTCTTTGCCTGATAAACTGCAGTTTTGAAGAGGTTTCTGATATCAGTCCAGGTAGTTTTGGAGGTGAGGACAAGTGGATCGTTTGCAAAGAGCTGCAAAACAACTATAAAATAAAATCTGACCAAATGGCTAAAAGTCCAGATATACTGACCCAATGCAGACATGATTACTTCTAAAATACTGCAAATGAACATTTTACATCGAGAATGTAGTATAAAAAAATATACAACATTACAAAACTGTGGAAGATGTGACACAGCTAAAATTGCTAGGTGGCTAGAAGGACTTGTGGTCATTTGTAATAGTGGGCAAAGTGAAATATATTGCAAGCAAAGTGTCCAGAAAGCATAAATCAAAAGGCTGAGGGGGGGGCTGACTGTAGATGTCCACGAGGCAGGGAGATTTGTACCTGCTGCTGCTGCTGAGGCTGTTATGAGGCGCAGGTTTTGACAGCTCAGGGCCAGACAATAAATACACAGGCAGGTCAGTCATCTGAGGTGAAGAGCAATCTCAGAAGAGTCAGATACTCGTTGGACAGCGGCCTGCTCCGACTCTGTCTCGTGGAATGATGCGAAGCTCTGATCCGTGTTTTAGAAATACGTTTCCTGTGAAGTTACAGAGAAACAGTTATAATTCACAACCTGTTCTGAGAACACGGACTCCAGAAATCCACTAAAGAACCGGTTTCTGCACCGTGTGAGGGACTAAAACAGTCGCAAAAGCAAAACGCCACCTAGGAAAGCCTGAATGTTTCACCCAAAACAGATGCAAATATCACTGATCATCACTTTAAACTCTTAGTTATTGTTTAATTTCAAATTCACGTGTGAGTACAAGGCCAAACCAACACACATTGTAAGGGTGGGTTATATGGCAAAAATATAACATCACAGAACTTGACTTCTTTTTTTTTACATGATTTAGTTTTGTAAACAAGTTGGACCGATAAACTGCATCAGCAAAACAGCAGAAAATTCAAAGCTGATAAGAGAAACAAGTACAATGACTTTTTAAATCGAATGTCTATTTTAAATTTAAATCTATTTAACGATATTTACAAAGGAACAAACATTTGGTAAAAATAAATGTATAAAAAAATTAATAAGACAAGATAACGTCATAAAGGGCTGAATCTCACTACGCACTTTACACTGTAATTTTCCTGCAACTCCTCGTTGTCTATACTCATTGTACCTCAGACCACTCAGCGCCTGCTATCGTGTAAACATGACAACTGTCTCATATGCTATGTAAATAAGCAAATACATATACTTAATTTCTACTCTTATACTTAACATGTCTATTTTTATTTCTCTGCATAGTATATTTATGTGAAATTATATGTGTTGCTACTGAAACGCTGTAATGTCCCTTCGGGATCAATAAAAGTTTGTTCTTTTTCTTTCTTTCTTTCTTTCTTTCATTATTCTGTTTGCCTTTCTTGTTTTTTCTTTCATTATTCTGTTTGCCTTTCTTGTTTTCTTTCATTATTCTGTTTGCCTTTCTTTTTCTTTCTTTCTTTCTTTCTTTCATTATTCTGTTTGCCTTTCTTGTTTTCTTTCATTATTCTGTTTGCCTTTCTTGTTTTCTTTCATTATTCTGTTTGCCTTTCTTGTTTTCTTTCATTATTCTGTTTGCCTTTCTGTTTTTTTCATTATTCTGTTTGCCTTTCTTTTTCTTTCTTTCTTTCTTTCATTTGACTTTCTTTCTTTCATTTGCCTTTCTTTCTTTCATTTGCCTTTCTTTCTTTCATTTGCCTTTCTTTCTTTCTTTCTTTTTCTTTCATTTGCCTTTTTTGTTTTTTCTTTAATTATTCTGTTTGCCTTTCTTTCTTTCTTTCTATCTATCTATCTATCTATCTATCTATCTATCTATCTATCTATCTGTCTGTCTGTCTGTCTGTCTGTCTAAATGCTAACAGCTCGTTATTTCTACACTTTTTATTGGTGTTTGTTATTTATAGTAGCGCTGTGCATGGGGACTTGACAACTCTTAACTGTTCTAGGTCCCAGAATTTGAATACTGAAATCACAATTCGTTATGATGCATCGCAGAAATCCTGAACAAAATCCTTGAATACAAGCAAAAAGTAAAATTTTTAAATTTAAGAGTAAGAAAGAATATTATATTTTGCTATAATGAAACCTTAACATGAGCACTTAAATGAGCACAAGGCTAACTACACTAGCTGGGATTAGCCAGAGCTAAAAACAATAAAAGATATTTCTCTGTTCTGAAATGTTCCTTGAACTAACCAGCGTTCTACATTATCCACTGAGGAGACAAACTGTGTAGGAGACAAGTAATAATCACATCCACCACTGTATTGGTTAGTTCTAGTGTAGTTTTGTAAACAAGTTGGACCGATAAACTGCATCAGCAAAACAGCGGAAAATTCAAAGCTAATAAGAGAAACAAGTACAATGACTTTTTAAATCGAATGTCTATTTTAAATTTAAATCTATTTAACGATATTTACAAAGGAACAAACATTTGGTAAAAATAAATGTATAAAAAAATTAATAAGACAAGATAACGTCATAAAGGGCTGAATCTCACTACACACTTTACACTGTAATTTTCCTGCAGCTCCTCGTTGTCTATACTCATTGTACCTCAGACCACTCAGCGCCTGCTATCGTGTAAACATGACAACTGTCTCATATGCTATGTAAATAAGCAAATACATATACTTTATTTCTACTCTTATACTTAACATGTCTATTTTTATTTCTCTGCATAGTATATTTATGTGAAATTATATGTGTTGCTACTGAAACGCTGCAATGTCCCTTCGGGATCAATAAAGTTTGTTCTTTTTCTTTCTTTCTTTCTTTCTTTCTTTCATTATTCTGTTTGCAAAATTTTTAAATTTAAGAGTAAGAAAGAATATTATATTTTGCTATAATGAAACCTTAACATGAGCACTTAAATGAGCACAAGGCTAACTACACTAGCTGGGATTAGCCAGAGCTAAAAACAATAAAAGATATTTCTCTGTTCTGAAATGTTCCTTGAACTAACCAGCGTTCTACATTATCCACTGAGGAGACAAACTGTGTAGGAGACAAGTAATAATCACATCCACCACTGTATTGGTTAGTTCTAGTGTTAGCATTAGCTCATCTGAAGGGGCAGCCTCTGTTAGACAAATAGAGTAAACAAAAGATTTCCTTTGAGTGTTTCTGAATAACAAGACATGTTCATATGTGCAACTCTGTGAGCTGCTAAATTTACCTTAGTAAAAGTTTAAATGTTCTCTGTTATGATCGATTATTATTGGGGATGTTCACGGTTGCTTCAGTACTCTATTAACTGTTTGAGGTGCCAGTACTGGAATAATGAAATCACTGTTCCGGTACGCTGCATGTGCCTAGTTCACCTGATACATGCACTGTTCAATGTTTACAAGGACTGATCCAGATCTACTAAAAAAGCAAGATGTGATAATTTATCACAATAACATACACTCTCAGAAATAAAGGTACTAAACTGTCACTGGGGCAGTGCCCCTCTGGTCACTGGGGTGGATCCCTCAAGGCTCCATCTCAGTACCTTTAGTCAGGGAACATAACTGAACCATAATCCACTGAAATGATATGTTCTAAGCTGTACTGACTCCACACACCCCGTCTCGTCTCCAGGCTTTTATTTTACTGTTCTGTTTTAAAGCATTCAGTTATGAAAAGGTACAAATACGAACTTTTCACCTGGAAAAACTTATTTAAGGTTCACAATCAGACCTTAAAACCACTGTTGTACCTTTGAGGGAACATTTACACTGTTTGTAGCTTGGTGAACGAAAAATGTACCTAAACAGTATCTTTATTTCTAACAGTGAACTGTCTTATTGCCCACTTCTAAAACTTGCACACATCGCTGCTGTCAGAACAAAACTCCACATCTCCATTTTAATCCTTTTTAATTTTTGACATAATTCAAAAATGCCTGTTTCCTTTTACATTGTATGTAAATTTCATGATGAATCAACCCAAAGAAATGGACCAAAATTACTTGAAAAAAAAAGTCTGGTTCCATTGACTTACATTAAAAGTAAAGTATGTTTTTTCCTTCTCCTGTAAAGTTACCATCTGGGAGATACGAGGTTTTGTTCCGACAGCAGCGATACATTTAAATAGAATTTCAGTTCATACTGTTACAAAGTACATACTACTATAATAAATTCAAAGTACTATGAAAAGAAAAAATTGCATTTTAGATGACTTTGATAAAACATCCTTTTTAGCCTGAAGACAGCACAGCCTTGGAGGTGCTGCCCCACTAAATAAGTTAATGTTCCAATGAAGCAATTTCAAAACTCAATTTATGCCAACTGCTATTACATAATTGTGCTGAGCTCATAGGTCAATACATAAGAGACGGTAAGACTATAGAGATCCGAATAGTTACATCACTTCATGATTCGAGGGCAGGCTGCAGTATAAAATATGTAGAAAAGAATAAATTAGAATGGAAAACATCCGAAACGCAATCCTCCGAGAGGGACGTGATCTCATAACAAGGGGAAAAGACATATTGCGGTACGCCTGCTCACAGCGCATCATCAATATTCATTATCTAATATGTGAAATTTACATAGGAGGCCTCAAAGAGCAGCATTCTCTTGGAATATCGTCTTATCTGCCTAAACGGCTCTCGACAGCTAACACGGAGACTCATCCCCGGTGGACTAAACAGATATCCCCATCTGTTTTCATGAACTAGATTTTCATGAACAGTTATTCTCCGCCAAGTCTGAACCAAACAGATGAGGTTCAGAAGAAAGGCCGTTTCAATACAAGCTTGGGAAAGTACTTCGTCTGGTATTAGAAAACATGAAAGATTTCAGACTCAGCCGACAGAAGATGAGACGAACCTGCTGTCTGTGCTGGATTGATTCCGATGCCATCTGCACAAAGAGAAGAAAAAAAAAATCATTTGAAATACCATGACGGCAATTATGTGCACAAAACAGTGAAAGTGGAAAATAAACAATAAGTCAGGCAGATGAGCAAGCAAATGCAAAAAAAAACAAAAAACAAAAAAAAAACGCTGATGAACATCACACTCGAACGCTCGAACGCTGAGCAATCACACAGTGCAGCATGTTTATATCTGGTCTGCTCTCAAACAGACAAATGAGTCAGGTACAACTCCCTACAGTTATTATCTGTTCATCATTTAATATTAAATGATAAACTCCTAATGGACTCAGTAAGGCTTGAGTTATGTACAACCCCATACAGTTATTATCTGTTCATTATTAATCATAAAGGATTAAATCACTCAAATCCTACTTCTGAGTATCGCCCGGGAGTCTGGGTTAGTTTCGGCACTGAGTGTGGCTCAGAACAGCCTGCTTTGACAATGACCAACCACAATTTGGTACTTTGGAATTACTTCTAGAGGACAGGACATTGTTATTAACCTCTTCAACTCCTTGAAACTACCGGTGGATCCAAAACGCACAAAAACACATCATATTCTTCATAACTTTCATATTTCATAAGCTACATTCTAAAGGTGGGGGTCGTATGAGAACTGTAACTGTCTTCTTTCCAGCAAATAGCTGGGTAATATAATTTTAAACCCTTATTTCTTTTTTGTGAACATTTTTTTTATTTTCAATACTAAACAGAAACAAAATGCACAATGACAACAGATACAAATAAATGCTTTCCCCCCTGAACTCCCTCCCTCCAGTTACTCTATTGAAACCCTTATAATAGAAAAAGTGTCATAAGAACTCACAAAATTATTTTGTCTACTGAAAGTCGACCCATTTTTCCACAAATCTGGGCTATAAACTATAAACAGATGGCGTCTCTTCAGTGATCTGAAACGTCAACAGTCGATGAGGTAAGCATTTCGCTTTGTTGTAATGTAAATGCAGCATAATAACTTACGGTCGGGATATAATTTGAATGTTTTCAATCCAGCTCCTACTTCTTGCCCCAAAGGCATATTGTTATCACAGTGTTTAGTGCTGAAACTGCTTGCTATTTATTGCGGACTAGCTAACGAAGATAAACAAAAGTCTGTTTCACATCACACTGATAAAAACCAGTGCATGGAAACAAACATGGCAGTGTGGGTAGACAATTAAACCGCTGTTGTGATTAGTTGTGGCCATCTTAATAGTTTAATAATATTAATTAACAGTTGTTAATTAATATTATGATTAATAATTGCAGCCATTGAAGCATAAAATCAATATCAGTCAGTGACTATACCTCTGCAATTCTACTTCTTCTGTTTTAGCAAGACAGTCAAAATGGAATTTTCCGAATTAATTTCTTAGTTCTGAATGCAAAAAATCCACTTTAATGGCCTTCCACTTTGTAACTTCCCTCATACAACCCCATTTCCAAAAAGTTGGGATGCCGTGCAGAATGTAAATAAAAATAGGATGCAATGATATGCAAATCATGTAGACCGTATTTTGTTTAGGAAAATACTACAAAGACAACATAAATGCTGAAACTGAGAAATTTTATTGTTTTTTGAAAAATATATGCTCATTTTGATTTTGATGCCAGCAACACGTTTCCAAAAAAGTTGGGACGGGGGCCTGTTTACCACTGTGCTTCATCACCTCTTCTCTTAATAACACTCTGTAAGCGTTTGGGAACTGAGGAGACACTGCTGTAGTTTAGAAAGTGAAATGTTATCCTGTTCTTGCTTAACATAGGATTTCAGCTGCTCATCATTTTGGGGTCTGCTTTGTCATATTTTTCATTTCATAATGCACCAAATGTTATCAGTGGCTGACAGGTCTGAACTGCAGACAGGTCTGAACTGCAGACAGGTCTGAACTGCAGGCAGGTCAGTTCAGCACCCGGACTCCTAATACAGAGCCATGCTGCTGTAATACATGCAGAATGTGGTTTGTCATTGTCTTGCTGCAATAATCAAGCCCTTCCCTGAAAAAGACGTCGTCTGGATGGCAGCATATGTTGAAAAAACATGTATATATCATTCAGAATTAATGGTGCCTTCACAGATGTGCATGTCACCCATGCCATGCGCAGTAATGCCCCCCTATACCATCATGAATACTGGCTTTTGAACTGTGCATTCATAACAAGCTGAGTGGTCTTTAGTCCAGAGGACGCGGCGTCCATGATTTCCAAAAAGAATTTCAAATGTTGATTCGTCGGACCACGGGACACTTTTCCACTTCACCTCAGTCCATTTTAAATGAGCTCAGGCCCAGAGAAGATGGCAGCGTTTCTGGATCCTGTTTATATGTGGCTTTCTTCTTTGTGTTTTAGAGTTTTAACTTGCATTTGTGGATGCAGCGATGAACTGTTTTCACAGACAGTGGTTTTCAGAAGTGTTCCTGAGGCCATGCAGTGATTTTTTAATGATATTATGTACCGTAGATGATGAAAAGCAGAAGTTCTTTGCTATTTTACATTGAGAAACATTATTCCTGAATTGTATTTGCTTGCGCAGAGTGGTGAACCCCTCCCCATCTTTACTTCTGAAAGACTCCGCCTCTCTGAGGTGCTTTTTTATGCCCCATCATGTTACTGACCTGTTGCCAATAACCACCAGGCGTTTTTTAGCATTACACAACTTTACCAGCTTTTTGTTGCCCCCCATCCCAACTTATTTGGAATGTGTTGTTGGCATCAAATTCAAAATGGGCAAAAACAATTAAATTTCTCAGTTTCAACATTTGATATGTTGTCTTTATACTATTTTCAATTAAATAAACGGTTTAAATGATTTCCACATCATTGCATTTTGTTTTTATTTACATTTTGCAAGCGTCCCAACTTGACCATAAGTGGGGAAAAAAAAGATCTACCATGTGCTGCTACAGAATGCTCTGAAGACAGGCAACAGTAAAAGAAAACGTGTTCAAAGAAAAAAGATCGCGAGACAAATGTTATTACTTTTGTTCATCTTAAAGTTGTGAATGGTACACTTTTAGACATTTGAATCACCCTTCGTGATTAACAAGCATGACAGAGGAAAGTATCAGCAATTGATGACACAATCATTATTTGGCTCAAGCCTATTCTTTGCTTAAGTGTAGGGGTGGGCAATATTAAACAAAATTGTATATTACAATACTTAACGGCATTTCCACGATATGTATCATGGTATTTTGACACATAACATACATTAGTAATGTCATATTTAAAAACTGCTGTCAAAAAATGTGACTGCACTGATTATTATTCAATATTTTATATGCTGCACTGCAATAAATCCAATCTAATTATGCTCTCTTGATAATGAAACAGTACTGATGATAACTAGGATGTGCTCAGAAAAGCATACTGTGCATCAGACTTACAAAATTATCACTGTAATGATAAAATATTGTCACACTGCCCACTCCTACTCAAGTGCACTTTTTTCCTATGTTTCTGTTTGTGTTTAAATAGCGTAGCATATCAAACACAGTGAGATATTTGGCTAATTGGAAGGTTTTTGACCAGACTGCACATTTGCCATTTCTTGCACTCTTAATGGTAAACTACCATCGCGTACATCAGGCGTGTCAAACTGGGTTCCTTCTGGGTCACAGCTCTGCAGAGCTTTTTTCTCTGTTTTATTCCTCCTATAATGCTCCGAATTCAATTCACAAAAGTCTTACCAATCAGCTGAGGAGCTGACTCAGGTGTATTTAACGAGGCAGAGTGCTGAGGTAAGCAGTGCTGCTGCCCACCAGGACTGAAATCTGAAATAAGGCCTACATCCACTTTTAAATGAATGAAGCACCATCAGACCGCAGACCAACAGCACAGGAAGTTGGAAAATTCCCAGCTGGTGTTCCCAGTCCTCACATAGGGTTAGGCTAAGTTTGCATTAAGATTGCGCTTGTGGTAATATAAATCCCTGCCCACTGCTTACGTTATTAGGGTTCCCGGCAGAATCCCTCTTCTCCAAGCCCCAGGTGGCTGACGTAGTTGTCTTTGCTCTCCTCTTGGCTAAGAGAAGGATCCTTCTTGGGTGGAAATCTACCACCCCGCCCTCACATGCTCTATGGCTGACTGATGTCATGTTTTTCCTGGACTTGGAGAAGATTAAATTTAGCCTGAGAGGTACTGCAGACATGTTTGACCAGATGTGGCAACCATTAGTTTCCTATTTTAAATGTTTGCCTAACTTAAACACTGATTAGAGGACGTCCTTATTTCATTTTTATTTATTTTTTTTCTGTTCTTATGTACCGATTAATTTATATAATTATTTTATATAATTTATTTATTCATTTATATTTATTAATTTGTCTAGCATTATTAATCTTTATTTTATTTATTTACTTTTTAAGTTGGGGAGAGGCAGGCAGAGCCTGTGGGTGGGCGGTGGGTGGTTTTTGGTGTGTGGGGGGGGGGTTCAGGGATCCAGAGGATGGGGGAGGGAGTAGGGAATTGATATTGCTGTAATGTTTGACGCAGATGAATAAAAAGGACCAAAAAAAAAAAACCACAAACACAAGGAAAAGGAAACATGATCCATCTCTACTCACCATTCGTGATAATGGCGCTGGTAGCGGCAGGCACTCTAAACTTTAAAGGAGAGAGAGAAAGAGATACAAACAGTCACACTCAACTGAAAACTAAGGACACACACTTGCATCAGGCCACACAAGATACATATCAACTCTGAGCCCTAAGTATCAGCCTCTCCCAGACAGAGCAATGGCTTTCCACTAGCACTTGTGTTTATTGCAGGTAATTTGAGGTCTCCCTTTGGCAGATTTAGACAGCTGAAAGCGAGAGGGAAAGGACAAAAGAGGCTGAAGTGGGCTGAAATGACAGAGAGACAGGGAGAGAGAGAAAGGCGCTGGAGAGACTGAACTCAGTTGGGGTTTGGGAAAAACACACCAGAAGTCACGATGACATTTCTGCAAAAGCAGCAGCGCAACGAGGGGATGCGAGGCGGCCGCCTGCTGTCATCAAAAATCAATTACTGCCACTCGTGCTGAATCCGAATTAGAGGACTGGGCCAAGCAAATGCATAGTCATGTGTGGAGGGTGTGTGTTTACTTTGGGGAACTTTCAACGTATGCTTTTCTTTCACAGGTGAAAAAGCAAAATCCTCGGTCCATCATTCCACAGGGACTCAAGTGAGGCAGCTAGAGAGAGAGAATGAGTGAAAGAACAAATTTTCAAAGCTTTCTCTGACAACACAATGGATATTTGAGGGCTTAAAATGCAGAGAAATGCAGACTTTTTTTAAAAACTATCCATCATTTTCCACTCTCTCCATTCCTCACTTTACCCCAGAAGCCTATTATTGTCCTGTCAACCTTGGCATTTTATTCAAGAAGGACTGAGGAGAATTAATCTGAAGGAAGCACTCCTAAGTTTGGCGAGGCATACATTCAGTACTGCAGAAGAAAAAAACACCGCTAGACACAATCATCAGGCTTTGCGGTATTTCGAAACGTTACAGAACGTTACAAAATGAGTGCGATCCTTCACTCTGGCTGCCCATTATGGGCCTTTCACACTCTCAGCGGAGAGAGAAGAACGCTATTGAGAGCAGCGCTGCACCACCTGTTCCCAATGAGACAGGAAGGCATTTAGAAAGAATAGCAAAGACTGAAAAGCAACAAAAAAGAGAGAAAAAAAAAGGACAAATAAGGCACAAAAAATGAAACTTACACACACATAGCAATCAATTCAGTGTATACAAGATATAAAGTGACTATTAGGCTATTAGCCTGAAGCTCACTGCACATAGAACTGTTTATCTCATTTCAGTGTGACTGACTAATGTGAAAATGAGGCCACGGATCATTACAGGGACAGATGGGGTAATGTCAACACTCCAAGCAAGCTCACCGAAAAATAAGCGAAACCTCTTTTTAAACAGTTTCATCAAAACACACAGGTTACATTTTGCAATTATGGTCCACAATAGCCTCACCTCTTCCGCTGCGAACTTCAGCACCGCTGTGAAAGGCGTGCTTTCGGGCACACTTAATCTGAAACACAGTGAAAGATGAAAGCAAATCAGCTGAAGCGCTAAGATAATAAGGAGTGATCAGATCTCTTCCTACAGTATCATTAAAATGATCAGCCCATGCTTCATTTGAAGAACAGAATAGCTCAAAGCCAAAGACACAGCAGGCAGCAAAGAAAACAAAAGACAAAAGGCAAAAGACATTTTAAAGGAAGCTAAATCTGTAGATAGACTATCAAAAAAAAACAAAAAAACAAAACAAAAAACCAAAAAAAACTTTTCAGTGACTAAGAACTCGTTTGCCAAATCCAGTCAGTGCATGTTGATTTATATTCAATTCAAATGTCCATCTGGCGTCTCTGCTTGAGGATTGTCCTAGTCCTAATTTGTGCCATTCGCTCACCCATTCCCCAAAATAAGACATCTTAAATCATTTATATCTTAAACCAAAGCTTTCATGTCACTGTTTATCAGTGAGAACATCTTTCTTACACTTTTTAAAACAGCATTTTTAAGGCCATGTTCACTAATTGGCAGGATTTATCGGCTGAAATGAACCCTTGGGTGAAAATGCTGCAATGTAGAAGAATTGTTTATTGCAATCATTAGCAAATAATAAATTATTCATTTATTTATTGAATATTGACATTTTATGTTATAATTTGTGGCCATTTTATGAAGGCAATTAGCCTTCCGAGGTCATGCGTTACATTGATTTTACACTTCGTGCCTAACAACATCCCTTAACGCAAGTAAAACCCACAAGCACAGTTACTTATTAGGGTACAGAGGACAACAAAGTTCAGTGTAGATTCCAGTTAGTGTTGCAAAACACTGCCTAATCAAGTCTTTTCAAATCCTTTCAAGCCATACGAGTTTTGTTTACAACTACTGGTTTGAAGCCAATGTGTCAGTGTGAACCAACAGAGAGCCAGAACTCATAAAACAAAGTCTCATTTAGTGATAGAATGAAATGAAAACTTTTTGCCGAAACCAAAACTGAAATTCAGTACATGCTGGGTGGAAAACCGTAACTAAAAAACTGACAGTAAAAGCACATAATCTTACTAAACTGATTACGGTATGTAGGAAAATCCAAAATTCTCAACAACAGGTCATGCAAAAAATTGCCTTTTTTGTTTCACTTTGGTGCTGTTGTTTGTGATCTTTATCATTCAAAAACTGTGGACTTTCTGCTTTCCTTTCTGTTTGTGTTGTCTGGCTGTATTCTGCGTACCGAGCACTGCACCCCCTCTTAATACTCTGTATGAACAGTAATTAAAAATGGCTTGTTTGATGTCCTTTAGCCGTGAAATGGCTCAAACCAGTGCAAGGGAGTAAATGATTGAATGTCTTTTTCTTGGTCCGTTCAAAATGTTTATGACGAGAGTTTATGAACACTTGCGGCCTACAGACACTTGCCACGCTTAATATAGTCAGACGTTGCGAAGACATTTAGCTTAAGGATGCTCCGTCTACGAGTTTATTGTAAAGAGATTTCTGATTCAGTTTTAACTGCAACACTATGGATTAAACTGTCAGGTCTGGATGTGGTAAAAATATCATTGATTGTCAACTAACAGGCCTTTTCTCCCCTTAATCATCATCTTTTCTACAAAATACCAGGTTACACTGTTGGATGGGCTCAAGTGCCTCAATATTTATTGAGAGAGAAATTAACTCCCACGTTTACTGTCATGCTGCTTCTTTATTATGCATTTTACAAGAAGAACTGTGCACATGCAGGATGGAGCGCAAAAGGAGCTTTCAGTAATTTGGTTCTGCAGTTAAAAATTCTATCAGTGATTCCTGAATTTGCTCTGCGATTGCACTTGTTTACAAAAAACATGAGTACATCTCTGCTGATGATGCAAGTGCAGCTTACTTCTCAGGACAAGACTCAAAGAAAATCTAAAAACATAACTCAGAAAAAAGGAAAGAAATAACTACTTTTTAACAAGTAAATGCACTAGAACGTTTCCACTTTGGGGAACTGCAGGGATTTCATTTATTAGGTGGATTTTGTTGTATTAATGTTCGCTTTTATCTAGTGGACTATTCGGTTTAGGCCGAATCCCATTTCGCCCCTCGCCCCTACCACTCAGCCCTTAGCCCTCTGTTTTGCGCGTTCACATCTAGGTGTAGGGTGTCCCGATTCTTGTTGAGATAGAGGGGTAGGGTGAAGTGTTAGGGCTACACGAGACTCCAAACAGAGTGTTATGAGAAAAAAAGAAAAAACGGTGAGACGGCTGAACAAGAGACCAAAGAAACCCACAAATTTGAGAATTTTCTCTGTTAAAAATTACGATAACCACTGTATTATCTCAGTTTAATGTCGTTTCAATGTATTATGGTTCTTTTCTTCATAACAAGTATAAAAGAAATCGCTAATAGCATGCTAATGTAGCTAACCTTATTGTTCCACCTTACATAGTCCAGCAGTTCTGACGCCTGAAGCGCCAGAATGTAACCGCTGCTCCATTTAAGGTGGACTTCATTCCTGCTAGTGTCTCCCATGACTCACCCAACTGAGAGACAATGCAGTGACAGGAACGTTGTAGGACACAGATTTTCCATATCCTGTGTGCTTGACACTTGCACACAATATATAAATAACAATTTCAACAAAAGAAGCTCATTATCAAAATCTGGTAGTCTTTATGCCAATCATTAATCATAAACAGAGCAAGAAAGTCAGTAGTGTCAGTAGTGCAGTCACTGCTTCACTCTTTAGAAGCAAGTCTCAAGGTAATATTTACAGGGGGGTGTCTATGTTTTTTAGAGTGAAGCCTTTGTTCAAAAGCTTTAAGTCAAATGCTGAAAACTTACCCTGTATTTCAACACGGAGTGTGTTTACATGCATTTAATAATCCAATAACTGCAGAAAACCAGATTTTCTCAGTAATCCGATTAACACGTTTACTCTTGAGTAATCAGATAAGGGGGAAACTCCAGGTCTACATGAGTGAGACAGTAATCAGATTTCTGCTTTGCAACCAGCCAATAAACTCACAGAAGAAGACGTGATGTAAACGTAATGTAATTTCATGCCGAAAAACATGAACGAGACGAGAAACGTGACGCAGTGCCCTTATTTTTGATACTGTTAGCTGTGGAGCCCTGAGCTTGCTAACTAGCAAACCAGGTTTTTGGCCACACCAACCACTACTACCAGCAGAGTAATGAAGCTGCTGCCATTCTGAGGACCGAATCAGAGAGTGCCTTCAATTTGCCGTGCTTTGTCAATGATTCACCTGCAAGACGCGACAGAAGCCGAGAGACGAGAGACACACAGACCTTTAATTCAGTGTTTTCACTCCAGGCTTGGAGCCGCTGCACTGTACAGTTCAGTGTTTCTCTCTGCTGTTCACCTCGTTCAGCTCAAGAAGGGATTAATTAGCTAATAATATCAGGTATTTTAACCAGGAAACCACAGTTATGCAGTGCAGGGGTTTCAGAACTGGAGCTGAACTCTGAACTAACTGCACTAGCAAACTTACAGAATCACGTCTGTCGAAACACGACGTCGTTTTTTGACCCACAACATTCAGTCTGATATTTAACGCTTATGTTTCTCCGTTCAAACGTCATTTAAATCTCCAGAAACAGAGAGTGAAGTTATACCGGCGGTCTGCAGCTCCGTTAGGGGGACGACTGTTTATCTCTCGGCTGTTAACATCAGCTAAAGTGATCTAAAGGCTGGCATTGATCACATCTGTGTTAATTAGCTGATGTCGTTACCCTCCTATGATGACAGTGTTTTCTCCTTTACCCACCCTGACGTGAAGAGCCGGTGGGCTTCTGTGCTTTTAAATGCTGTGAGAGACTCCAGAATAGGGAGAGGGGCTGAGTATGAGGCATAATAAAGGATCGCATGTATGAGGATCGCAGCCTATTTTATCAACTTTGTCGAGGAACTTTTTTCTCTTCCAAAATGAGGTGATTAATTTTAGCCATCTTCCATCTCTAGTTACGTTCGTGTGGAGCAGCAAAGCCAGAAATTCGGTCCCAAATATGGCGACCACAACAGGAAAATCACGTGACTGAAACCCTCGGATAACAGATGGAGTAATCTGCTACACAAATCCCAGATTGAACAGAGCAAATTTAATGTTGTAGCTTCAAATTTTAAATATTTTAAAGCATTTTATGACTAAACTGTTAAGGCTAATTAACAATTCCTCCAGAAATTGCACTGTAAGCATGGGCAAGTTACAATGCTTTCTGGGTAAGTTCTATTACTGAAGTCATTTATGTTGACCGTCATGTAAAAACATCACACGAGTTGATACAGTAATAAACTGGCTCTTAATATGACAGAGATTTACTCAAGGAAAAATAATGATGGACATGTTAAAAACAGTTCTTACACTGAGCATTAGCCTGCAGATTCTCTCCCGCTTACAAGTAGACATAACCCACCAAGGTCAAAATTCAAGTGCTTAGCATCCATTTTTACTTGAGAAACTGACGACTCATGAATAAAAGAAAATGAAATCATTCATTCTGATGGAAAAAAATCTGAGGCTACACTTAATACCGTAGTTTATACCTCTGCTCATACACATTAATCTCATATGGATGAATGTGAAGTGTGCTGTGTCTGTCTAAAGTTAAGAAAGCTAAGTGAGAAGCTCAGAGCTACACTTTTACTTAACTTTACTGCAAATTTCTCAAGAGACTTGTAATGCAAATCAAAAGCCTGTCTAGAGGCTTGAATGAGAAACGATTGCAGATTATGTGCAATGGCAAACGGAAGTATAAAAATGAATGTTTTCCTGAGGTAAGAGAGCCTGAGATGAGTTTTATGTAAGAGGACAAGAGCTGAGGAAGCTCACTAGCTTGAAAACAACACCATCAGAAGTCCATGTAAAATGTTATTAAAGTAGTTGTCAAGTAAGAATGTTCTCGTAGAATTCAGAATCTGTTCTGCAAAAATGAGAGGGAGAGAGAGATAAGAAAGACAGAGAGAGGAGAGAAGAGAGAAGGGTAGAGTAAACTAGCTAACGTTAAGTTAGACAGATTTTACAGTTTAAAAGAACCTTCGCTACATAACATTATTTTATATTTACATGAACATTTATCAATGTTAATGGCCAATTAATATTATTATTATTATTATTATTATTATATCTCATGAAATAATGGTCCAGCTAACCTAACAATAACGCAAAGTTTTAATTTCTGTACTGTCAAAAAAACAAAGAAAAAAAAAAAAAGTGCATGTGTGTGTGTGTGTGTGTATATATATATATATATACATATACTATATATAACATATAATATATATACATACATATATATATATAAAAAATGTGTTCAGATGTAACCCCTTTTTTTTTTTTAAACCACCAACATTTGATTAGTAACTGCAATTTAATCAATCATGCAACTCTGTTATTGTTCTGCATTAAAATATTCCTGATTCAATTTTCCGATGAGTTTGTTGAAATACTTCCCCAAGAAGAGGAAGATGCCTGACGAGGAAGACAGTAAATATAGCGCTGCAATCTATATGCAGTGGGTCAAAGAGGCCATATGTATAAATAGATGTAAATAAACATGTTCGAAAGTTTGTAGTGTAGTATCACTTTACTTCATATCTTACGCGATATTTTCTAGGTTGAGAACCTTTTGATATGCATCCCAACCCAGCACGGGGCAGAGGGACGTAAGTGAACTGGGCCTTCTTCTTACTTTGTAGCTAAAACTGGATATGAATGTGATACACTACGAAACGACACACTACACAGCTGCACGCGGCCACTCACACAAACATCTACAGGTACAAAGAGTCATGTGCAGAGCTGAGCAAAGCTACAGTTTGTTTTGAGAGTAAAAATAAATGCCAAAAAACGATTCTGCTACCACACATGCTTAAAAACTTCTGAATTAGCTACATGGCTGTCCAATAATCAAACATACCTGCTGCCCTTTAGGCAGGTCAGAGCACCAAGGCTATGTTCACATTACCAGGTTGAAGTGGCACAAATCCGATTTTTTGCCCTAATGTGACTCAGATCTGATGTTTTCAGGGCTGTGTGAACACGCAAATCTGATCTTTTTAAATCCGACCTGAGCCACCTTCGTATGTGGTCCTAGATCAGATAAGTATCCGATTAATGTGAGTGTTCAGATCGGAATTCATGTGCTTTTTTCCACTGCGCGTGCCATTTCAGGGCGGTCAACATCGCTGCTGGACTGCATTCAGTACCATTACAGAGCGACAGTTTAAGAAAGATACTGTCCAAAATTACACTATTTCAGGAATATTACACTCAGAAAGTGGGACAGGATTATATAACGGAGGGAACGCAGTGATCCACACTCATGTCTGTGTGATGTTTGTGTGGATGTGGCCGTGTGGTTAATGAGGCACAGAGAACCTGTTGATGTGATTTGGTGTGTGTTTTTCCTCTGGTTTTATATTAAGCTTTTTTCATTTAACAGTCTATTCAGGGGATCTTAACTTTATGTATTAGTTTATTTACAGTGATGGTTAAAGCTTTGTAGCTCAGTAAGTTATATCATTCCTTAATCCGTGTAGATATTCATAATAGATCAACGTTAGCACCTTCTTACATGAAGCTGAAGTCAACATCTTATTCGCCAGCTCCTTGTTTGAATTGTCCCGTTCCACCTTAAATGGTGCAGTAGTCACTTTCCGGTGCCTGAAGCTGCACCATTTAAGGTGGAATGGGAAAATTTGTACAATAAACCGGCGAATAGGAAGCCAACTTCAGCTCTGCCCTTCTCACTGTATTTTGGGGTGTTTGTTTTATTTATTTATTCTTGTTTTTTTTTGTGTATTAAGATTAGAAGTGATTCACACATTGATGGATTTGCTGATGTGTGTCTGATTATGTTTCTCGAGCTAAACTTTTAACGTCAGGTCCAGACTGAATACTGTCCTGCTGATCCGGACGTCTAATTATCACAATCAGTTATTTAAGTAATAAAAGCTACCGAGAGCAGATCCGTGCAGCCTGGATTAATCTATATCTGAGAATATAACAAAACAGATTAGGTGAAAATCGGTCGAGTAATACGGAAGATGTGGCTGATTTAATCCTGAGACTCTTCGTCTCTCAATACAAGTGAATATGTTCACACGCGGATCTTGACCGCTCCAACATGGCGGACGCGCAGACGTATCGCCTCAGATAGAGAACAACAGACAACGCGGCATCCAGATATGTATACATATGGTTTAAACGCTATGCTCCATTTTGACAAGTAACAAGCTGTTACTTGTCAAAACGTGTAGCTTGTCACGACATTGCAACGCACGTATGCACGCTAACATACTTACTGTTGGAGCCCCTTTTAAAAGAAAACGCTTTTAAAAGCGAGGTGACTCTTTCAAACACTACCTAACTGCCACCTTATCATAACGGCTCTGCTGTCAATAAAGAAATAAACAAGCCTGTAAGCTGTAAACAGCTGGTCAGATGGTCAGTCAGTCAGAGGAGCCGTCCTGTTAGAGACGTTAGAGGCCGAATGAGAGCTTTCACAGTTAATAAATGTGGTCGAAAAGCGAATAATCATGTTATTAAGTCAAACAAACGACTACAAGGACAAAAGTAAAGCCTCCCTTGTTGACTAAATCAGACAGAAGCTGTGAAAACCCAACAGTGGGATCTGCTACTCACACTTTGTACGGTAACCGGGGATCCGACGTCAGCGTGATTTTGAACGTTACTTTCGACCTGAGACATTAAACACACACACATTCATTAGATCATGTAGTTGGCACAGTAAATAACATCTGAATTCAGCTTGTTAAGGCAGATAAACCAGGCTTAGTTACATGTTTTAAGGCGGAGAAGCCGAACCGCTCACTGTTTACACCGAGCAGGAAAAGCAGCGAGGAGGACCTGATGGAACACGTCATCCATTCAGAGAGCGGAGAGAGTTTGGTTCGTTTTTATTTCTCCACCCTTCTCACGTATCATTTCAACCCCCACTTCGTGAACTGATTCACAGTCAATCTAACTAAAAACAATTTAAACGCATTAAAACATTCGACGGTAAATAGGTTAAATACCCGCAGCCGCTGTAGTTACAGTCAGGCGAGTTCCACTGGTGCCTATGTGCTACCGTAAATGTCAGTGTAAAAGCCCCGTAGTGATTTTGACAGACTGCGATTCCAGGGAAAGTCGACTGAGTTGTTTATAAAGCGTTATCAAGCGTTTTTTGTTAAAATTTGTCAAAACTTTTTTTTTTATCCTTTTACAAGGTAGTAAGACAGCTGCAGCACATTATTACATCCCACAAGCTTCTGCACTACAGAGCTGCATTAGTAAACCGCTGATGCAGCACTGCAGTGCTCTCCGACAGGCTGTGGTGTTATTACGGTTTAATAAATATGCCACTCAATGTACAAACATTCAAATATAAATATTACAATATATGTCAAAATAAATATTTTATATAAATGTGTTGTAAGAGTGATGAATCAAGGACAGCACAACAAACTGTTTGATAGAAATTTATTAATGTAATAATAATAATAATAATAATAATAATAATATGATGCTCGTGATAAAGCTTAATAGTAACAAAGGAAACTATAAGTACTAATTTAATATCATAGAAGACAATGAGTGCGTTTACATGCACTCAATAATCCAATCATAATCAGATTTCTGCAGTTATCTGATTATTCAAATGGTCATGCAAATACCATACTCCGATCAAGAAATCCAATTAAGAAATCCCATAAAGAGGCTGGATTTTAGCTTAGTAATCAGATTTCTCAGTACATGTAAACTCTTACTCTGATTTCTTTCACATTTCTCAGTCTGCGCATGCGCGAGAACCAAGAAACCTGAGAGAAAGAGTCTCTCTACGTTTTCTGTATTTTACAGAAGGTGTTTGTAGGTCAGTATCTGCAGATCTAAGATCATAAACAGACAGACGTAATCAGAGCTTTAAGGTCATTTAGAGCCTTAAAAATAGCAGCAGAGCTTTAAAATCTGTCCTGAATGATACAGGCAGCCAGTGCAGCTCTTTTAAAATGGGACTGATCTGATCTCTCTGTGCTGTTTTTGTTAGGATGCTGATGCATTTGGTATTTTGTATGAGTTGTAAGGGACGTATTGTTTTCTTAGTAAGTCCAGTAAGAAGGTCATTACAGTGATCAACTCTGCGTCGCTCTGAGAGAGAAAAGGCTGAACTTTAGTGATATTTCTCAAATGATAAAAAGCTACTTTAGTGACTGTGTTTACATGCAGATAAAACAGAGCTCAGAGTCTAAGATCACACCCAGGTTTCGTACTTCAGGTTTGGTATATGAAGCTAAAGTGCTGAACTTCTAAAGCATTTTTCTCTGAGTTTCAGTACCAAGGATCAGGTTCTCAGTTTTTTCCTGATTTCATTATTTTGTATTGTATTGTTTTATTCACAAAATGCAAGTTGTAAAGAACTGCGGCTGTAATTTGTTATTACAGTAAAAAAGTTGAATGGATGAAATGTTTCTTATGCAGTTTTGTTTCTAAATCTGTATTGTTTCTGGATACGTATACATATGAACTGCATTGAATATTGAAGCGTATTCTTTACTGTAAAATCATAAATACATTGAACATACATTTGTCTTATAATGTATGTCAGTCACAGTGTCTTGTGAACACATCTTTGAAGACTTTGCTCAAGAATAATAATAAAACTGATGCACATGCCACTTAAAAACTCAGGATAAGTGGCCTAGAAAATGTGTGTGTGTGTGTATGTGTGTGTGTGTGTGCGTGTGTGTGTGTGTGTGTGTATGTATTCGCCTTAGCTTATACTTTTTTCTAGTAAAAATGGATGATCAACTCTTTTGAACTCTTTTTTATTTACACATAAAATAAATGTGTGGGCCCCCTAAATATGACATTGACCTCCAAATGTTCAGAACGTGGCCCTGTTGGTTAGTACTGCATTCCACTTTCCTCCCTATCAAGTTTTGGGCCAGAGCTAATTGACATGGTGCTATGCATTGTTGGAGGTGGTGATTTTTTGTGTGCCTTATCTTGCATTTAGAAGGTTGCACCCCACTAAAAAAAATCTTTAAAAACTCAAAAAAACTGGTTAGTTTAAGTAATACCAGAAAACTGGTAACTGCTAACCCAACCAGTGTTTACAGAATGACACTCCTTTAGCCTTGTCTATCAAATACAGCCCATAATATACACTACAATAGTCTTCACAACAGCCAGTGTTACGCACCTCATACGCTAAACGAAGGAACCACCCCTTGGCACTTGTGAAAGATCCTATTTAGGGTACTAAGTTCTATATTTTCTCTCTTTTTTTGGCAGCTTGAAATCATCTACAGTAAGTTGCTCGTGTCTCTGAACTGCTGTCACTCCTGATGCCGTGAAAAGAGCATCAGTGGGAGTGGAGCTTCACAGGCAGCTGAGCTACTGTCAGTAAGAGAGACTGGAAGCTGGAGTCTAATGAGTCATACTCGGAGGGCAAGCCCTGCTGCCAGCACATCACGGCTTAGAGCCAGGAGCCTCCCTGGAGGCAGAGGAGGGAGCTGAAAAGAACAGACTACTCATAGTTCTTTAAACTCACATCTACTGGGCACTGAGAGTTGCGCAATAGCTATAGATTTGTCCCAGGCTTATTGTGCAAGTTTATTATTTGATAAGAAGTGGGAGTGACTAACTGTAGAATGAAAATCGGTGCATTTTAGGACTTTTAGAAGGATAAAAACGTTAAATAAAGCAGATGTTTTCCAGTAATTTTATGTTTGTTTTAATTTCATTTACACTGAGAGCCAGATACAGTCATATGTGCCAGCCGAGGCATATCATTACATAGCAATGTCTAAGAACCCTTTTAATTTGCATACCATCACAATGACATGCAAATTTCCTCTAGCATGTCTATGGGATTTGCAATGTTATCTGAGTGCCAAGCTAGCAATAGTGCATACGCGCATTTAGGAGGCGTTCAGTTTTTTTGGGGGGCAAAAAGTCCACTAGATTCAATTTTTCCTAATTAACCCATTGTAAACATTAGCAACATTAGCAAGTGCTTTGAACACCAGAACTAGTATAGTAAACTAGTAAAGTAAAGGTAAACTACTCACCAAGCTACAGTAGCATTTTATTTGGATAGTCCACTTTTTGACGCTTTGTAGATATTTAATTTACTTTCAAGTTATATTCAACTAAATATCTACTAAACTGACCCTACTTTTCTTTAACTCTAAACCTGGCTCTAATCTTAACCCTAATCTTAACCTCAGCCCAGAACCTAAACCCAACTCTCTCCCTGGTTCTAACCCTAACCCTGGTCCAAATCCTAACCCTAACCCCACCACTGTTCAGAATCAACTTCACCAGATAGTTTATTAAAAATTTGAACATCTGTAGAGAATCTATGAGGAACTGTAGTGGACAATCCAAATAAAGTGAGACCGTGAGGGGTATTTATCATCTATTTACAGTGTTTTTTAGCAAACCTTGATGTCAATATTGGTTGGTACACATATCAGTGAATTAATATTCATCTTCTAGATATTTAACCATATAACTGTCTTACAGTCTTGCAATCTCTCTCCCATTCAGTGTTACGTGCCTTTTTTTTGATTGGTTATCTTGTGAAAAGTGACACATGATGAGCAGAGCTTCTCCATTGAAGTTGAATCTTTCTCAACTCGATCTGCAATGAACCATGGTGGAAACTAAACACGTCTTGTGGGAGAAGGAGTGGAGCCCTTGAAATTTGCGTCCTGCTGCAGGATATAATGTTGTTTTGGGCAGTTTACACGATCTTCAATGCAGCTTTACATGTTCGGGAATTGACATGATTCTCCACTTACTCCAGATGCAGTCAATCAGCCAACACATGTTTGGTGTCCAGGTTTTGCTTCTTTAGTTTAGAACTGGAGCTGCTAGGCTAAGAATGCCAACTAACACTGGAAGTCAATAGTCAAACTGTTTCAATAAATACATGCCCAACACTTCCTTCAACCGGCTGCAGGTCTTCATTCAAGTCATACAGACAAGTTGATGTGGTTTAGAACACAGTATGATTCACTATAAACTATAAAAAAGAAAATTTTCTCAGTGTTGCTTAAAAGAAGGAGCAGCTATTTAGTATAACTGGAATCTATTCTTTTCTGAGAAAAAAATTGGTATCATTCCTGCGCATTATGACCAAGACAGAGCTCAAAGAATTCACAACGCAGATGCACTGTAGGGTAATGTAGGTAGATAAGCTAAGAAAAGCTCATAAAATGGGTTTCATGGCCAAGCAGCAGCACACAAGCCCAAGATCATCATGCGCAATACCAAGTGTCAGTGGGAGTGGTGTAAAGCACACCACCATTGAATTCTGGAGCAGCTGGAAACACTTCCTCTGGAGTGAAGAATGTCTTACTGCCTGGCAGTCAGATGAATCTGGGTTTGGTGGATGCCAGAAGAACGCCACCTTCCGGAATGCATAGTGCCAACTGCAAAGTTTGGTGAAGGAGGAATAATGGAATTATGGTCTGGGGCTGTTTTCCACGATTTGGTCCAGGCCCCTTGGTTCCATATGGGAAATTAAGTTTTATTACTCAGTTCTAAAGCCTAAGAATAGCTAATAATTTTGCATTGAAATCACTGTAGTTATTGAAACAATAAGCCTTAGTATGTAATTAGCCTGGAGTTTCAAGGGGTTCATCTTGAGGCCCATAAGAAAAGGTTTGCTGAGTGGAAGTACCTGTCTGGCTTGCATAGAGCTCTGACCTCAACCCCATCCAACTCTTTTTGGATGGACTGCAAAGCTGACTGTGAGCCAGGCCTCATCACCCAACCTCAGTCCCCAACCTCACTAAGGCCCTTTTGCATGCATGTTCCAAAATCTAGTGAAAAGCCTTCCCAGAAGAGCGGAGGCTGTTACAGCAGCAAAGGTGAAGCCAACTCCACTGTAATGCCTATGGTTTTGGAATCAATTGCTTTTGGTGTGTATTTCAAAAAACAGGGTTTTTCCATTTGCACTGGGGGCTTTTACATTTTCTCTGCCCCAAGACACCAAATACAGCTTAGGTGTGACACAAGGTGGCCAATCAGTTACATAAACTG